TGAATACCGGACATCTGGCAACCGTAGCCATCCCTCCTGCTTCCTGACTCCCAACCACCGGAGCTCTCCAATGTTGCCGGACCAGATAGTCCCGGTTTAGGGAGGAGTAACCTGTCGTATGAAAAACTGATATACATCAGCTTATTTGAACACTTCATAGGGAGGAACTCAAACCTAGAGGACAGCTGTTCTCTAGAAATGTTGACTTTGTTGGATTATAGACAAATAGCCACCCTTTCAATAGTTCAAAACTCACCTCTTAGGCTGTGTCCAGACTCAGGGTTTTTTTCGGGAAAAGTAGCCTTTTCCCGAAAAAACTTCCCCTGCGTCCAGACTCAAGCCGCGTTCTTTCGAAATTATTTCGAAAGAACGCGGCTTTTCTTTCGATGGCGGTAAACCTCGTTTCACGAGGAAGAACGCCTTCTTTCGAAAGTTCCTCTTTCGAAAGAAGGCGTTCTTCAATGTAAATAGGGCTTCCTCGAAAGAGAGCATCCAGACTCGCTGGGTGCTCTCTTTTGAAAAAGCAGATTGCTCTTTCGAAAGATCCGCCTGCAGTCTAGACGCAATCTTTCGAAAGAGGCTCTTTCGAAAGATGCTTTTGAAAGAGCCTCTTTCGAAAGAAGCCTGCAGTCTAGACATAGCCCTAGTGAGATTCTCTCCTGGTGTAACTCAATTGACTTTTTTGGGACCAAGCAGGGGCTGGCATCTGGCTACACTGAACAGCTTGTAGAATTGCATCAGTTCCTTCTGTCAGTCTTTCACAAGGAGCAGCAGAAGGTAACAATGTTTAAAATAGGAAAATAATGAAAACCCATTAAAACTGAGAAGGGGATCAGTGGCAGATGTTATGCCTGAAAGATCTTCTAATTCATTGTTTAGATCAGCTTGATTACAGGTTGACTGTGACTTTAAAAGTATTATTGTAGCATGATATCCCATGATTTGATAATGTCAAAGGAATCCTGTATATTTGGGATATCAGTTATGCTTCCAGAGTTTATATATTTCCACCATTAAGAAGTGAGAGTTTTTTTATTGTAATACTATACATTTATTTGCTTGATTAGTACATGGATTTTAGGTTATTTATGTATTTTGTAATTTGTATTGGTAGTGCACAAAGTCAGAATTGGGGGCCCGTAGCACCCAGAGCTCTTAAAAAAAGAAGACAAGGAATCAGATTTCAAAGGGAGTGGCCCATGGTCCTTGCCCCCAAATGTTCACAATGTAAAGAGACAAAATGGGCTGAAGATGGGAGGAAAGGTGCACAGAATGCAAACAGAGTGCTCAGAATTAGGGGTGATAAATACATTGTGAATTCTACATTCTTTGGCCAATTTTTAGATTGTATTTTTAAATTTAAGCAGGATATGGGAATGAGGAAGGTGGGGAGGGGATGATCTGCTTAAAGAGAAGCTAGGGGACACTGAAGAGGGTAAGAGGGAAAAGAGAAACTAGCGAGGAGGCCTGGTACACAGTGAGAAGGAGAAAGAAGGAAGGAAAGATCATGGGGATTGAGGGGAGAGAGCAGGTGGCAAGACAGTGAGGGAGAGCCAAGGGAGGAGGTTAGAGCAAATAGCTGTTTAACAGTGAATAACCAATATGTAGAGGTGTCGGGGGACCCCCCCCTCGACGGGGGTTGCCACCTTCCTCTGGGGCATCATCCAACCAGTTTGGGCCTCGGCCCGAAGCGTGATGCCCCCTTTTTGGGGAAATACGGCCTCACGGCCTAGTCCCAAAGTTTTTTATCCCAGCCCCCACTCACCAGGGTCTCGGGTAACAGCGGTAGGGGGGGCCGGGCCCTCCCTCTCCACCGGGCCCCGACCCAGGGCCCTAGTAGTGGCGGGAGGCTCCCACCACTGGCTCAGGGGGGCTCCTCCCCGCAACGCCCCGAGCCCTCAGGGGCTTTTCCAGCTCCCTGCCCTGGGTCGCTTCCTACCCCCTGCCCTGTCAGCGTTGGTCGGGTGGCTGTACTAGTATTTCCCCGGCCACGTCGGGGTTGGCAGGGTCCGGTCCGGTGCCCGGGTCCCGGGGGGTCGGTCGGCGGCTCCGGCGTTGGGGCCGAGCCCGGCTGAGGCCCGGCAGCGGCGCGTTCAGCCCTCTTGGCGACTCCCTCTCTGGCCGGTGGGTGCTAGCTCCAGCTCGGGCCGCAGTCTGCCCCTTCTGGGCAGGCCATCAGCCTTTTATACCTGTGCTCCCCTTGGAGCATGCCCAGTAGGTTTCCCTGGGCTTGAGTGCAGGCGGGGCCACCCCATCACATACTGATTCTGTAGTTAGCTTGTCACAAGAGGTAATTTAGCATGCACAGTTTCTGAAATTTGAGGAGGTCCATTGTGTTTTGTTCCAGGAGTGATTGCAGGAGCAGAAAGCAAGGAGTGTGCATGTGAATCATGGGGGAGGGTGGCAGGCCAATTTGAGATAGCAGGTACTGTGCACATTTTTAAAATTATGCTTATATGAGCTGGCTGAACTTTTACCTCTTGCAGAGAACTAGCACAAGGCTGATGCCCTGTACCAATCCCTCAGGGGAGCATTTTAGATTTTATTCTACATTAATTCCACTCTTTGCCCTCCCATTTCATATACTGTGCATTTTCTGAATTCCATGTTGTTTTGCATCCCTTACATAATCATATTATGTCCATTCTTCTCTTATTTACCTGTGAATGAGCAGTCTCTTCTTTCCACCACATATCTCACTGCAGCATTGTATATTTTTTAAATGATGGCAGGTTACTCATCAACACATTTATAAGAGACAGACCTGCTCAGACTCTGTCTCTATTTAATACTAATATAAAGTAAATATTGCTGGGAACAGCCTGTAGTTTTATTTCACTCATTCATTTCCAGTGCAAAATTGATCATAACTTCATGGTCAGAAAATTGGACATTCTTTTGATATGAGAATCCTGTAGTTTGCCACTCTGCATGTCAGTTCCAATTTCTTAGTTTTTAGTTAGCTTCTGTTCAGCTGGATTCTCAAAAGGAGGCATAAATATATAAGCCAGACTCTTTGATCATTTACATTGGATTTTTATGGTTGTAAAGGATAGAGCTGAAGAGTCAGTTTCCATGTAGTCTTTGCTTTGGCATCTAGTCTATCTGTTAATTTTCTAGCTGTCAAAAAAAGAAAATTATGGAGAAATATCATGCCCAAAGGATGTGTTTGTCCTGCCAAGGAGTGTCATGCTCTTGTTGGCCAAGAGGCAGAGATAATGTCAATTAGGTTTTAATTGGAAACTAGCAACCCCCAATTAAAATCACAGCTTCAAATTGCTGAAAGAAACAAACTTTGCCTGAAATAGAAGGAAATGATTTACTATGTTGCTTAGTTTTTTCCCTTTGCTTTTCCTCGCCTCCATTTTTTTCCTATCTATATCTTGAGCCATCTTAAGTCTTGTCATGTTCATGGATTTTTGTCAGACTAACTTAATATAACGATATCCTTTAAAGTGTATTGGATTTTATCCTATGAAATTCTCTCTCTGGCATGTTCTCCTTTCTTATTTGGCCAATCTTTTTGGATTATTTCTCCAGTTCAGATTCCATTCCTGCCTAACATCTTCTCCATTATCTCTGCTTTCTGTTCCACAGTCTTTAATTATCTGCTCATGTCTGTCATCATGCCAATTATCTGCCCCTCCTTTCTAATGCTCACTTCTCACCTTCTTCTTACCCCTATTATTTGTGTTTCTAAATTGTTCCAGATGATTCCACCATCTTATTTACATATCAAAATACTGTGTAACATTGCCAAAAACAAGGGAGAATGGCTCAAGAAACAGGGGGACAGCTCTCTGCAAATGGTGACCGTGTTAGCTTACAAATAACCATCCATCCCAAAGCACCTGACCTCTTCTCCATAGGATATCTGTTGGTGTAATTCCAATGATTTTATTGGACTTACCCCAGCCACGAATCTGGCCTACTGAGTTTCTGCCGCAGCCAGACAAACTGCAGGCATGGACTTGTTCCTTCTATTGTGAAATACTCTGCATTTGTCTACACTGAGTTTTATCTGCTATGCTGCTATGCTTTTCTCACTTATCTGGCTTTTTTTTTTTTTTTTTTTCTTTGTCCTCCAGGTGTGCCTGACAATATTCTCTAGCATTGACTAGGATGAACATTTTGTAAGGTGGTGGTAGCTTTCCCTGCCTGTCTCTTCAGCCTGTTTTACAGATAATTCGTAATTTTGGCAGTGATCTGCTTCCTTAGGTATGAAGGAAGCATCAAGGTATTCAGAAGGAGCAGCAGAGAGAGGAAATTACTGTTCCTAATGAACATCACCATTAGTTTTTCTTAGACTCAGGTGCCGATTGAAAGGCAGCTGTGGCTCCCCCAAGGGCCCAGACATTCAGTGAAACTTTAAAAACCTGGGCTGACTTTCTAGTTATGTGCATACAGAATATTGAGCACACACATAAACAAACCAACACAACCCTAAGGTGCCTGCCTCAGATCAACTTTTGCTTTTAATCACGGGCTCCTTCTTCTACAAATCTTGGCCTTGGCCCTTAATCTTGATATTGAAGTCAATCGCAAAATTTGAATTAATTTGAATGCTGCCAACTCAAGCCTTTCAGTATCATTAGTTGAAAATTTTCATCCCTGGATGTACAGCCATTGGTATATTTCTAAATATCAGAGGACTGACTTTCAGAAATGCTGTGCACACACAAATTCATTGAAACCAACTGTGCTCCTCTTCTATTTAGGAGTCAATCTGTACATGCAACAATCTAACTCTATGCACCCACGACTGAAAATGTTCATATGCATATTAGAGAATGAACAAAATTTGATAATTTAGGTTATTTACACTGCCGTTCAGAATTGTGGTCCACTATACATTTTCTCAAGATTTGTCCAGACTGATTTTAAATGTCACAGACAATAGATCTTTAACACTTGTCTTTTGTCTTATCCAACCCTAAGAAGATCATTATTTGCCAGTAATTTTTAATTTACCATCTTTAATTTTGTTTTATTACTCCTAGTTTTAACACCATGGATTACAATATATCAAGCTGACATCTGCAAAGTAGAGTCTACCCATCCTTCATCTTTTACAGGCACAGGTAGCTGATTTAAATTGCTGGTTCCAAAGGACATGTTCATGTGCAATGAATTTTGTTGGAAGTATCAAGGGGGGGAGAAGGGGGAATGAGACATTGGGAGCAACTTGTAGGCTTGAGAGAGGTTGGTCTATCTTAATCAGTGATTTTCATCCTTGTTTCATTTGCAGACCCTTAAAAATTTCAAATGGAAATGCAGATCCCTTTGGAAATCTTAGACAATCTGAGGAGCCTCTAAGGTCCATGGACCACAGGCTAAAAACCACTGATCTAAATGTTAAAACACTAAAAGTGAAAGGAACGACTTTCCCTTTCTTATGCCGATCCTATGCAAGGCATTTTTTGCTTTTTTGTAACATTTAGGTTTACTCTTGTAACAGTGTCTGAAAGCTACATTTCATTTAATAAACCAAAGAACACACGCTAAGATTAATTACGGCTGTGGATTTTTCTCCAGTTATTTGACAAAATATGTTCACGAAATTCATAAGCATGTTTTATTTCTTCAGCAACATGTCAATAAAACATGTGCTTGGTCCTGCCATGAGGCCAGGGGACTAGACACAATGACGATCTCGAAGTCCCTTCCAGTTCTAATATTCTATGATTCTATGAAAAGCTTATCTTTGGGAATCTTGACCACTTCAAATCCAGTTTCCCTCGCCTTTTCTATCTACCTTTTTAAATTAAGAGCTGGCAGGAGAATAAAGAATATTGACTCATTTCAGAGTTGATACAATCTTGATGTCGAGTAGCAGGCTCTCATACTAACATTGATGACCTTGTTTTTGCAATATTAATGCAAGTTGAAGAGCAATATCATATCTTCCCAGGGCAGAACACACAGGCATCGGGCTCAAAAGTATCCACAAGGTTTGCTAAGTAGTGTTTACACAAACACTGCTCAGTAGGTGTGGTTTGGGAGCTTATAGAGGAGGCAGGTGATGTAGTTTCCAAGCTCTGGATTGATTACTGGATCCTTTAGTACAGGAAAAGCTTCCATGGTTCTTACTGAACTCTTCCTCCTAAGAAGCTATGCTTTTATAAATGGTTTTTGCCCCACTTGCATAATATTTGCAAATGCAGCTACACAGCAAAAAGTAATGATGCTTCCCTATAGTTGTCCTCTGGGTCCTCCCAGACACAATAGAAAGTGGTTACGGCTATACTTTTCCAACGTTGCCCTACAAACATTCATGGAGCCTTTGAAGTGCAGAGTTCTGCAGGGTGGCCAGAGCGTGACCCTGCATTTGAGAGTCTGTGCATTGTCTTGATCTTTATCCCTTAGTTGCTGCACATAGAGAAGAATGGAGAGTCAAAAATAGAGGGACCACCTCTACAGATCTTTTTTTACTGCCACGTGGACTGAGATGGAACACTACAGTATCTTCAGTTCTCTTCCTCTAACCTTATTTGTAAATAGTGAGGTTTTTTTTTCATATTAGATCATTTCAGTATGGTCAGTTAGGAACTGGGGAGTCATATTATCCTTTGGGAGCACCTCACAGTCTTTCTAGTGTGGAGATCAAGGACTGCCTAAAATATTGACAGTCGAGAACTCTCCTGCTCACAAGCCTTCCTGATCAGTAACAACCATTAATGTGCTACCTAGGAAAAACACCCATCTCTGGCAAAAGCAGTATCTGTTGCTCCTTTCCCAGTGAAAGTCACCATCCATGGGAGTTGAGGCTCAGAAAATGACTTATGGAACGGGTGATGAAAACTCATTCTGACCCAGGCTAGGAAGGCTCCAACTGCACAGCAATCAGAGGCATAGCAAAGCACACCTACTAGCACTGTGGCTTCTGAAACAGGAAAGAGTAAGAATAGAGATAAGGACTCCTCTACTCAGGGAAAGCATACTTTAAAGTCTAGATAGACGTCTCCCTCTAATTCCTACTCTAATTCCCCTAATTCCTACTCTTAGATGAAGTTTTTGTTTTCTGGGTGTGACGGGGTACGGTCACAGACGACCCCTCGAGGGTGCTTCCCGGGGTGCTGACACAACCACTGTCACTCGCCTTCCTGCTCTCTGGGGCTCCTCACCGCCCGGTCCTGCTGGGACAGCTCCGCTGGTCTCCCCCAGCCGAGGCCCCGAGCAGAGGTCCCTGCCCCCACCGAGAATCAGTACAGACACTGAACCACTTCAGGTCCAAGGAGAGTGCAGTTTAGAGCCCAGCCTCCTGGGATATCGCTCCCCAGATGGGGTCAAACCCCAAAGAATTAGGTAATCCCCCTTTAGCAATGAAAGGGAGAATGTGCACACTGGTTGCCCCCCTCAGGTAACAATCGCTTACACTGGGTTTGATAGAAAATAAAAATGGTTTTATTAAGTTGAAGCAGTGGGATTTAAGTAGTAATAAGAGAAAGTAGGCAGAGCAAAATAGGTTACAAATCAAAAGAAACAAAAACTCTTGGCTAATTCTACACTGAAACCTCAGTACAAACTTAATCAAACTCACCCTAAAACCTCTTTTCCAGCTGCCTCACTAAACCAGCTGAAGCAAAATGCAGGACAATGTAGCACTTTAAAGACTAACAAGATGGTTTATTAGATGATGAGCTTTCGTGGGCCAGACCCACTTCCTCAGATCAAAAAGTGGAAGAAAGTAGTCACAACCATATATACCAAAGGATACAATTAAAAAAAATGAACAAATATGAAAAGGACAAATCACATTGCAGAACCCCCTTCTGTTCTGAAATTTGATTTGTCCTTTTCATATGTGTTCACTTTTTTTTTTAATTGTATCCTTTGGTATATATGGTTGTGACTATTTTCTTCCACTATTTGATCTGAGGAAGTGGGTCTGGCCCACGAAAGCTCATCATCTAATAAACCATCTTGTTAGTCTTTAAAGTGCTACATTGTCCTGCATTTTGCTTCAGCTACCCCAGACTAACACGGCTACATTTCTATCACTTCACTAAACCAGGGCTGTCTTCCCTCCCTGTGGTCTCAGGCTTCTTCCTTCAGGTGCAGCCAGCCAAAAGACCCAGGCTTCTTCTTTCCTATTCTTTTTGTTAAAGAATTGAGGCCCCTCCCTACCAACCACTGCTCAGACTGAAGGACAAAAGAGATACAGTAAACTTCCGATAATCCGGCACCTTTGGGACTGAGAGGGTGCCGGATTATCGGATATGCCAGCGTATCACTCCGGAAGGTGGGCTGTGAGGGATCTGGGGGAAGGGTCAGCGGGGAATGGCGTGGTGTGGTGTGAACCCTCCGCCATTTTGCAGGGAGGCGGGGAAAGCCCCGCACAGTCGCCGGCGACAGGCCAGCTGGGGCTGCAAGTGGCAGCAGCGACTTGGGGAAGCGGTGGGGCAGAGCAGCTGGGGTGCTGCCAGGTTGGTTCCGCAGCACCGCCCCTCACCTGAGCAGAGCTGCAGGACCAACCCAGCAGCACCCCAGCTGCTCTGCGCCTATTTCCCAAGTCTGTCACTGGTCAGTTTCAGCAGCGGCAGCAGTGGACTTGGGGAAGTGGCGCAGAGCAGCTCCAATTGTCCGACTGGCTGGAGCACTTCCAGGTTCCAGTTGGTGCCAGACTATCGGGAGTGCCGGACCACTGGATGCCGGACAATTGGAGTTTTACTGTAGTTTAACAGTTGGGGGTAACACCCTCCATGTCTCTCATTCACATGTTTGAAACTCACAAAGTATTTATTCCCCACTCCATGTGTCTAATTTTACACACACAAATGATACATACAACAAAATAAGATAAACAGAACCAGCAGATCATGACATGAAGATTGATGTGTTACATGAAATAACTCACTCAAACCACCTTTGAGTTATGTATATTCATGTCCATTTCATAAAGCATTGGAGGAGGGGGGAGTCCATCACACTGGGAAGAAAGATATTTTTGCCAGTCAAATTGCACTTCCAAATAGCCAGTTATCAAGCGTTACTGCCAAAGTTAGATTTTGTCAGCTATTCAAAGCTTTTGGAATTTAGAGGTAAGCTCACATAGGAAGACTGAATAATTTCAGGTTCTCATTGAGGAAGGTAGGCTGGTTGCCAGACCATCTCTTCAGGCAGTAGGAGAAGCAGCTGATACCATTGATCTAGATGTTGTATCTGCCATTGTGATGCAACAGGAGTGCTGGCTGCACTTCTCAGGGTTCCCCACAAAGGTTACAAGTGACTGTGGAAGACTTACTCTTTGAAAGGAAAAATTCTCTGAGGGGATGTCTACACTAGGAAATTATTTTGGAATAACTACATTCAAAATAACTCCCAAAATAACATAATTGAAATAGCGTGTCCACACTACAGTGAAGCTTCAAATTTAGTCCGAGGCAGGCTCCGTTGTTGTGGACACACTGCCTTAGAGCCACAGGAAACACTGGGGAGTAATTACTTTTGAATGACTCTGGGGAGTAGTTATTTCGAAATAGCAGCAGTGGAGCATCAACACTACCGCTATTTTGAAAACAATTTCAAAATAAGCTTTATTCTCCAAAGAAAGTAGGAATACAGATTTTGAAATAACTAGCTCATTATTTCAAAATAACGGGCTTGGTGGTGTGGATGCTCCACTTATTATTTAGAAATAAAAGGGGTTATTTCAAAATAACTTCCTAGTGTAGACCAGGGCTGAGTCATTAGACTCAGTATAAGACTCACGCGTGGTCCTCTTGAGCTTGCAAGAGGACATAACAGACCTAGACTGCCAGCCCAGTTCTTCTACCATCAGAAAGGGTACAAACACCAGAAAAGAAAACAGACATCCCCCCAATGTCTTTATGCAAAAGCTAAGATTCAGAATGATTACTCTGGGATTGAGAATCTGGCCTCTAAACAGAAAGGAATATTTCACAGGACTTTAAATGAAGAGTGTTTATTTCTACATAGACATCCTTTTCTCTCACAAGAGGTTCCTGAAGATTGGGATTAATGCAAACCATAGCCTGCGGAGGGTGCTTCCCTTTGGACTAGTAACACTTTCTAGAACATTCACATAGTTGCTCTTAGTTACTGGTAGCTCACTGCCGTT